TTCGACTTTTCGCATTGGAATCAATTCCGACCGATTAATCGGCGAGAAAAAAAAAAGGAGAACAACCCCTTCCCCTCAATCCTCTTTCCCCTTCCCTTCCTCCTGTTCCACCCCCTCCAACCGATTCCGATGACGCGGCTGAAATTCGCGTGCACCTCCGTACTTTTATGAGAGAAGAGAATAAAATGCAGGGAAAGGGATTGGAGGATGAGAAAAAGGGATGGGCAGGGGAGGGGAGGGACAGGAAAAAGAAATGTAAAAAGAAAAAAAAAGGAAGAAACGAAAACGAAAAGGAGAGAGAGAGAGAGAGAGAGAGAGAGAGAGAGAGAGAATATTTTTGTCGTTGCGCGTGGCAGCCAGCAGTTTCAAGCTTCCATTATGTGTATTATAATACCAATGAGAGAGAAAAAGAGAGTGTGTGCGTGTGTGTGAGAGAGAGAGAGAGAGAAACCAAGAAAATTTGACGTGCGTGTCGTACCAACGATACAAGAGAGTGAGAGTGAGAGAGAAAGAGAGAGAGAGAGAGAGAGAGAGAGAGAGAAAACGAAATGTACTGGCAGCATATTTTTTTTTTTCTTTCATCTTTTTCCATTTTTTTTTTCCTTCGTTATGAATTCTCTACGGCTAACCTCAGTCGTATGGAAAAAAAAAAAAAAACAAAAAAGAAAAGGAAAGGAAAGGAAAAATTTAAAAAGAAAGAGACAGAGAGAGAGAGAGAGAAGATATAAAAAAAACATGGCCGGTGAAAAAGAGGGAACAGGAAAAAAAGCGCGAATTTAATTTGACGGCGCTGACCGAACTGGCCCCCTCCCCTCTCCCACCCACTCCCCTCCTACCACTGCTAACCAACCAACCAACTGGATGCGCATTATTTCTAACCTAAGATTTCATCGCATTTAAAATAAACGTGAGCAAGGTTTAAGCTAGCAAGCAAGGATTACTATAAAAAAAAAAAAAAATCCCTACGTGAAGGAAAATGAATATTTCTCTGACTCTGGGGTGGTGGTGTCTAGGATCTAAAGGGTCTAAGGGTCGTTGATTTTTGTTCAGAATTCAATTACGAAATTTTCTTCAGAAAAATTACACGCAGCCTTTTCAAAGAATCCTTTTTTTTCCCGTCATATATCCATGCGGGTTTTCAATGTTTTTTTTTTAGGTTACGTTCGTTCATCATTTTTTTTTCTTTTTTTTGGTTTTATTTGTGAGGGAAAGAAAAGATAGAAACAAACAAAACGTTTTTACCACCCGGACGGTCTATCTCGCGGGGAAAAAAAAAATCCCCGCAATCCTTTTAACGTTTCGCGTTTCTTCTTTACTTTTTTTTTCTTTCTTTTGTTTCATTTGGTTTTTTTTTTGAAACGTAATCTTCTTTATTATTGCTTTGCTAATATCCATAGTGAAAGAGATAGATATATAGAGAAAGAGAGAGAGAGAGAGAGAGAGAGAGAGAGAGAGAAAGAAAAAATTGACATTTTATGAACCCCAATTCAAACAAAGACCACTCGATAAAGAAATAACCAAAGTGGGTGGGGATGACAAATATTCATCGTATCGACGTAAATTCGATTCTTATATTTTGTTTCTTTTTCTTTTTTTCTTTTTAAATAATCAACACACATTCAACGTGTATTAAACCCCTCACACATAATCACATAATAACAAACGATAAAATTTAAAAAAGATTATTAATCTCGACGACATGTTTATTATTATTATTATTATTATTTTATCTTCTATCTTTGCGTAATATTTGAAAAAGAAATTGTGAAAAATCTTTGTCTGGAATTAATAAAAAAAAAAAAAAAAAAAAATGTACGTCAGATTAATCCAACGACGATGCCAATCTCTCTCTTTCTCTCTCTCTCTCACTCTTTCTCTCTCTCTCTCTCGTTTTCTTCTTTCCATTTTCTTTTCGTTTAACGAGATTAACCCGTTTTCATTTTATCCATTTACCAACGAATCCCAGGCATTGTTCTTGTCCCTCGTATACGATTACCCCGTAACACACACACACGCACACACACTTTAAATACATACATATAACCCTGTCCTCGTATACGTTTACTTTTACACATACATATACACATATATGAGGATACAGGGATACATACCATCCACACCCACTTCTAACTCACCTAAAACCCCTTTCCCCATACCATGACAAAACCCTGTTGATGTGATTTACGATTATACTGAAATTTACATCCATTCCATGGAGACGTAGAGCAACAGGGCCCAGTGTTTTACGCTTCAGCGATTGTGAAATCTGACTGTTCAACTCCAATCTGGGTGACGTTAACCCATTTGTGGGTACTATTTCGAAGGTTGCAATGAACGTTGATCAACAACGATTAATGCGAAGAGTATTATTGGGTCTAACTTTTTATATCAGCAATTCGATAAACAAATGAGAAAAGGAATGAGATGATATCATTTTTCTAATTCGTAAATTGTGTGTTTATTTTTAAATTAATCCTTCGTATTATACTACATTTAGTAATTGCATTTCTTAACAATCTGTTCATCATCTTCATTTTAACGAGGTATAATTAGGGGTATGATACACTAACTATATTTAATTTGTATTTCATTTGAATTTAATACAGTAATTGTATAATTGTGAATTGAAGTTTAATTGAATTATTTAAATTTGAAATATTTTAGGAAAAGTTATTTGGAATGTAATGTTTTTTTTTCTTTTTTTTTCTTTTTTATTGTTAGTTAAAATGAATTTTGTTTGAACGTGTTGTTTATTAACGATACTTATAAAACTTTTAATATGAGGCTGAAGAAATTATTTTTTGTATTTTAACTAAACGTTTTAATTTAAATCAAATTTTATACTTGGAATTTTCGAAGGAATTTTTATGAATTAAACATTGGAATATATAAACCAAATGAAATAATATAATATACCAAATTCACGCACACACAAATATTATATACTTTTTGTTAATTTATATTTTGTATTAAATATAACATTGTTTTAATTATAATTTTATTTGAATTTGGGGGTTTTTTTTTTTTTTACTGAAGTATATAATCAAAATAAAATAATAACAATAAAATTACATACAATAAAAATATATATATAAAAAAAAAATTATAATAATATAATATACATAAATTAAAATATTATACACACTCTTGTTATATATAATTTATATTTGATATTAAAATATTACAATCGTTAGATTATAATTTTATTTTAAATTTGAATATTACACTCTGAAATATATAAACCAAAAACAAAACAAAAAAATTAATAATATAATATACCAAATTAAAAAATATTATATTCTTTTTTGTTATTTAATTTATATTTGATGTTAATATATTATAATAATAATAATTCGATTATAAATTCGTTTAAATTTGGGTATCACACTGAAATATATAACAAAATAAAATAAAATAAAATAAAATAAAATAAAATAAAATAAAATAAAATAAAATAAAATAAAATAAACTAATATAATATAATATAATATACAAAATCCAAAAATATTATATATTCCCTTTTTTGTTATAATTTATATTTGATATTAAAATAATACAATCTTTAATAATAAAAAAATAAAAAAAAAAACAATTAATTTCCCAAAAATCGAATATAATAAAATAAATAAAATAAAATAAAATAAAATAATATAATGTGATATACCAAATGAAATTATTTTATACATTTAAATGATTACAAAATATACTCACATTTGACATCGAACCTCACTTCGGTGTTTGATGACATCGTGGGATTGGCATAAGCAGGATGAATGGCGACACATCGGATGGCCGCACCGTAACGTGACCTCTCCGCCAAAATCTCGCAAACACTGTAGGTCTCCCAAGTACGAGGATTATCTAGTTCAGTCGAGTTTACCTGAGGCCTAAGCGTCCTGATCTCCGTTTCGCCGACGTACCTGTAAGCATTTTCCCCAACAACCCCCCCCAAAAATTTGCATTTCTAATAAAGTTCTGTAACAACACTGACGGAGAGTGCGATCCCACCACCATCTCTCTCTCTCTCTCTCTCTCTTTCACCCTCTGTTTACCTTTATCTTTCTCTTTTTCTATATACATATTAGGGTTGAGTTATATATTAGGTTGGTCCTATATATATATAGTATTAATATTAATTATTTTTTACATTTATATTATATACATATTATTATGGAATAATATATTATATATATATATATATATATATATATAGAGTCAATTATTATATTATAAAAGTTTTAGTTTAAATTAATATTTCATTATATATATATATATATTAATATAGAAATATTATATATTTATACAGAGTTAATATAATATATATATATAGAGTATATATATTATTTATTAATATATATATTATATATTATATATTATAATTTAATATAGTATTAAGATATATATATATATAGGGTAAATTATTATATAAGTTTGTTTGTTATATATATAAGGTTGTTTGTTTCGTTGTTATATATTATATATATATTACTATAGAAATATTATATATTTATATAGGGTTAATATATATATATATGGGAATATTTATAAATTATAATAAATGTTAGTTTCTATTTTCTTTGAAATTAATATTTCAAAAAATATATATACGGTTAATTATTATTATATAGAAGTTCGTTTAATCTTGTTTGTAAATTAATATTTCCCAAAAAATAAATTTTTACTCAATAAACAATTCATTAAAATAATACAATTAATAATAGAATTTTGGATTAACCCTAATAAATATATTTTATTTTCTTAGATTTTCTAATACATTTTTCCCTTTTTCCTGCTTGTCTGTCTGGCTGGTATTTTATACGCATCACTACTTTAACTTCTTTTCTTTATTTCCTTCTATCTCGCCTATGCGAGTTGGTATAGCTTGCTCAACTTAGCGAGACGAAAGAGAGAGAGAGAGAGAGAGAGAGAGAGAGAGAGAGAGGGAAAAAAGAAAAGAAAAGAGCAAAAAATAAACTAGGAACAGCCAAGCAACCCCTCTCCTCCACCCCCTTTACGTTTATCCCTTCTTGGAAATTCTCTTGAGATCTAAAGTGTCTCGAACACTACCAACCAGATAGAAGAGAAAATCTATGTATATGTACAGTTGTATAAGTATGTGTGTATGTATGAGAGAGAGAGAGAGAAGGATAGAAATAAAGAAAAAGCTTTTGACCTCGTATTATTCTTTTCTTCCGCTAAGGTTTTTTTTACATGTACGGTTTTTTATGGGCTAATTTTTTTATCTATCTCAAAGTTTACATTGAATTTTAATCTCACTTCCCTTCTCGGTGTTTCTCTCTCTCTCTCTCTCTCTCTCTCTCTCTCTCTTTCTCTCACTATCTATCTATCTATCTATCTATCTCTATTTCACTCTGGTCATGTTTAATGATAATAATATTAACGCATACACACATACTGGACATATTCCACGTATTCAGTCGTGTCAATTAAGCTAATTCCCATAGTGAGAGGAACTTTGGAAGACATACGTCTCGTCTAACTGTATTGAATTTGCAATGGGATACGTGAATCTTCGATTTAATCAAATACCATTACCTTTTAAGTATATATATATATTTTATTTTTTATATATATTATTATGGAATAATTTATTATATATATATAGGATTAATTATTATAAAAGATTGTTTCGTTTGTATATCTTTTTTCTGTTAATTCAAGGATTTATTATTTAGAGGTTATCTAAGTCTCTAGGTTCTGTAAGTTTTCAATAGATGGAGCTGGATTATAATTCAATTATTTTACGTTTTCTTCAGAGTTACATAACACATAACCTAATCTTAATTTTTATATTTTTTCGAGTATTATTATTTTATGTATTTTATTGTGTAATTGTGATATTATTTTGTGTTTTGTTATAATTTACTAAACTTGTAAAACTTAGAATATAGGACAGGTTTTTTTATCGCGATTTTGTTGTTGTATTTTTTATCGCTAATTTAGGGATTTATTATTTTTAGGTTATCTCTAAGTACTGTAATTAATTATTATTTTATGTATTGTATTGTAATTGTGATATTTTCTTGTGTGTTTCTATAATTTACTAAACTTTTCCAACTTAGAATACAAAATAATTTTTTATCGTGTTTATGTTTTATTATTTATCGCTTAATTTAAGGATTTATTATTTAAGTCTGTAGGTTCTGTAAATTTTCAATAGATGACACTGTATTGCAATTCAATTATTTCACCTTTTTTCAGATTTACATAACGCATAACAAACCTTACATTTTATATTTTTTGAAGTATTATTATTTTATTTATTCCATTTTTAATTGTGACATTATTTTATGTGTTGTTATAAAATATTAAATTGTTTAGAATTTTATTATATAAACATTTTATAACAAAGCCACAGAAACCCATGCCCGGAGCATCCTATATATATATATATATATATATATATTTAACAGAGAAAATTGTTTTATTTATCGATATTGTTAAAAAAAAAAAAAAAATATTATTCGTCGGATATATATCGTCTCTATTTTATTATTCTTTATTTTTTTTTTTAAATCGTGCAACATTCATTTTTGATGAAACACTCGACATTTTTTTTTTTTACCAACAAACGAACCAACAAAAAATTATTTTCGAGTGAAAAATTGTAAAAGTAATGAGACGTGTATGTATTTGACGTCACACGAATGAGACAATTGAACAAAAATAATATGAAATGTTCTAATGTTAATTAATATGTATGTGTGTGTATGTACAATTAAGTCAAGTATATGAAATATCGTTGAATAAATTAAGATTTGTGTTTATTACGTATTTATTAAATACGTTTATCGATACTGATAACAATATTATATGCATTTGTTTATAGAAGTATGTATAATGTTACTCGTGAAAGATTGAAATTTGAATTATGTTTAGATTCGCATGATCGTTTGCCGTATATGCTTGAAATATCAATGTATAAAAATAAACTCAAATAATTGGTTTTTCACTGATGATGTATATTTGATATCTGTCGACAAACGAACATGTAAATTTTGACATTATCCAATTTCTGTATTTCACATTGTTAACATGTATAGAATATTAAGAACGTAAATGAGATTAGGGGAGTTTTGAATAGAATTAACAAAGAGATAGAATGGAGAGTAAAATACAGAAGTTTCTCGAGTTGATTAATTTCATATTAAAAAGTTAAGAAATGTATTTGAAGTATTTAACGTTTAAACATTGTTGAAATTCATTTGAATTTCATTCATTTCAGATTTTATTCTTATATATTTAAAAAATATTGAAATCATTTTGTTCAAATGATGAAATTAATACGAATATTATCATTTTTGTGCTCTTTTTTCGTTTCTTTTCAAAAAGTCAATAAATGTTCAATCCTTTGAGACATAAAATTATACAAAATAATAAAAAAAAAAAAATATATATGTGTGCCGATTACACTAGTTAGAAGTGATTTAATGAATCAAGTTTCGAGTTTCCTATGTGAAAAGTAAATATTTACAAATAGAAATTAATCAATGTAAGACATTTAATGATCGTCGTAAAAATAATAAAAGATTAGAAAGTTGTTCAGAATTTTATTGGACAACGATAACATGACTTAAAATCATGTGCATGTTTATGTATATATTTTCCAAAACAACAAATGTGTTTTATTTTTTTTCAAATCACTTACACATTATAAAGAAATTTTCACTTCAAAAATCTCACGTTGCACAGAAATTTGATATTCTTTACAAATATTTACAAAATTCATTTATTTTGATCAATCTTGTTCCTTGCCACATTGTATTATCGATTGTACAAGTTAAACAACTTTCATTAATTATGCTCACATAAGCGTCTGAATTATAAAAAATAATTTATTCCAACTTTCCTTCTCTTAATTTTCATCATATTCATGTAGTAAGATTTATGAAAAATATTTGTACAATATCTTTGCAAATTTACACGGCGTATGCAAACGCGTAAGCCTTTTCCCTTCCTAAAAGGGAAAACACACGGTTGAAAGGAAGGTTGGAGATGCTGCTACTGCAAACCAATCCACCTACCAATCCACCCACCAATCCACCCACCCACCCACTTTTCGAGTGTCTTAACTTTGCTCAGATACGATGCAGAAATGGATCATGATTATTCATGGGGAAACGTGCACCGGCATCGACGTGATTCTCGTTACATTACGTCATTGAATCTTTAGGGTTAAGGAAAACTAACAGCTCGATGGAAGTGCCAGGGATTGAGAAAGAGAACAAGAAAAATAAAACAAGAGAAAGAGAAAGAGAAAGAGAGAAGAGAACAGAATTTAAGATCTTAAGACTAAGATTTAATCCGAACAATGTTTCTTAACACTATGTCGTCCTTACGTCTAATCCTGATTTTTGACTAGAACTGACTCACATAATTTCGCTTATCGCTGACGGTTTAATTTAATTTTAATTAATTAATTATTATTTATATTAATAACCGCTAATATGCGGCCATTAAAGTGTTAACTTTCGTTCTACAATTTTGAATACCACAATACAACCATAATTTCGAAATGGTACCAACGTAAAGCCACCGGACGTCATAGTGTTAATAAAAAAAAAAAAAAACAAATAAACAATAAAACAAACTAGGAAAATTATTTCTGCACGAGTTTATTGTAATTGAAAATAATGTAACTAGAGTTGGTAATCAGCAACATTAGACTAGAGACAACAAATTGAACTGGTATTTGTCAGAATAGACAGAATTTTCCGGTAGACTTAATAGTTGGTAGGATGGGGTGAGGATTGAGGGTTGGGGAGTTGGGTTATGAGAAATGTGAAGAAAAAAACAATTAAAAAAATGTTTCCAAAGTTACGGTAATTAAAAAAAACTATACACGTATGTACTGCATACGTGTTTTCAAACGTTGTACAAAATCAAAGGTACGTTTTAAAGAATACAAACGAGAGACTGAGATAATATATATGAGAGAGAGAGAGAGAGAGAGAGAGAGAGAGAGAGAGAGAATGAGAGAGAGATATCGGTGGTAAAGAATAATAATAAAAAAAAATATATATATATATATATATATATATATTACTTGAATTTTATGTGTGCAGCAACAATTACGAACCATTTAATTAGAGGCGGAGGATTCCCATACCGCGCTCTGCAAGTGAGCGTAGCGATCTCACCTGCTCGGGCTGTCACGTTGCTGCCAGGTAAAATAGGATGGTTGTCGTACTCTATCTGCGGTCGCTGAGGGCTGACTGCAACGACAAAATTAACGAAGATTAATTCTATATACATGTATGTATGTATGTGTGTGTGTGTGTGTGTGTAGCTTGAAATTCCTATTGGTATGGGATGAGATTGTATGGATAGTAGTATAATAGTGCATACGTGATTGAACGTATGTGATATGTGCGTATGTATCTGTATGTGTATGTGCGCATAAGCACTCGTGTATTTGTGTGTGTACTGCGTTGCATAGGTTGAGCGCATCGCGCATATCTCAATGTTCGTTGCGCAACACGCAGAATATCAGTTTACCTATCTCTATCTCTCTCTTATTATATATATA